AAAGAAAAAAAAAAGACATTCTGCAGATTAAAAAAAAAGTCTGAAAACACACCTTTTTAAGAAGGGATGTGACAACATGACAGAGATTTAGGTTTTAGAAATATCACCTCAGAATAGTATGTAAGATCAGCAGAGGCTAGTGAGGGTGGTAAAGGCTATATTCAGTGAAGACTAAAGAAATACACAGTTCAGAATTTGCATCAGTAAATTTATTCCAAGTAAGATGTGTATCCACACACCCAGCATATTATTTCCACACAAAACCCAGCATGGGATGGCTATGAAATTCAAACATTTGAAAAGTCTCTTAAGATAGTAGTTTAACAAATTCTTTAATATTTGTCATCCATGCTTGCTGAATTATAATTTCTGAATTATAATTGTATTGTTCATTATACTTATTATTCATTATATTATATATAACATCTTTGCTGACATTTTTTATCCAAAAAATAACCTTTCAATAACTTCAAAATATCCACATGTACCTCTCAGCACTGCCATCGTAAAACCAAAACTGTCTTTTATACAAGTGGTTCCTGATCACAGATATAACTGATACCCAATTTCAAAACAGCTCTTTTACTCCTTGCTTCTATTTTAACATGCCAACCATCACTTCACTGATATCCCAGAGTTTTCTTGCAACGGACTCATCCATAGCTTTAGGCAATAGTTCTTCCTCTTTACAATCCCCAAAGTACCTTCCTGACACACCTTCCACCTCAGGTGAAGAGGCTAAATAAATGGAAGTCTGGGCACCTTCTACTGGTGTCTTGAAAAAAGCCCATGACACCAAATTGAAGAGCGGCTTAACCAACGGTGGAATGTGTATGTGCCTCCCAAGATTAGTCCGTACCATACCGGGATGTAAAACGTTGACAGTAACGTTTGTGCCTTCTAAGCGGCGGGCTAGCTCCCTGGTAAAAAGAATGTTAGCCAGTTTGCTCCGACTATAACAAAAGCTTTTATTATAGCTTTGCTCACTGTTCAGGTCTTCAAAGTTGATATCTCCATATTTATAAAGTTTGGAAGAAACCACGACAATTCTGCTGGGGGCTGAACTTTTGAGGAGTCCAAGGAGGAGATTGGTGAGTAGGAAGTGCCCCAGATGGTTCACTCCAAACTGCATCTCAAAGCCATCTTCGGTCTTCATGTAAGGGCACTGGAAGATCCCTGCATTATTGATCAAGACATCCAACCTAGGCTCTTCCTTGAAATGTCAAAAAGAGAATAGCAGAATTAAGAAAACAGGCCCTTTACTGCCTTTTCTCATCATGATAAATAAGTTTTAATAAAAAGCAGAACTTGAGACTAAAAGTATTTAATTTCAGTTGTTGGCCTATAGATCAGAAAACTACTGAAACATTGGCAATTTGGTTTTTAGTTAGTGGGAAGAGGGATTCATTCTTCTGAAGAATGTTTCCCCAATAAATACTGATACCCCTGATCTTTCACTCAATAGTTCTTTTTTCTCATTTATTAAAATGATATGCAAAAGACATCCACAGTTATCTGCCAACAAGAATGTGTAGAAACTCAACCTAAGACATGATTTCTAATTTTATACTTTTATAATGTTTTAAAATACAAATATTTTGATAATTCACTAAAAGTCTTTCTTGAAACAGAAATACAATCAATTTGGGGACAAAGCACTCCTGTGATTCCAGATTTTTTTTTCCTTTAGTTTCAGTTAAACTAGGAAAATACCCATTGGGGAGTTATCGTGTTAATACTAAGATCATTAACAAAATCATAATAAATGTTCCTACGATAATTTTTTTTTTTTTCAGTTTTTGGCCAGGGCTAGGTTTGAACCCACCACCTCTGGCACATAGGGCCGGCGCCCTACTCCTTTGAGCCACAGGTACTGCCCATCCTACAATAAAAATTGTAAAGATTCTTTCAAACTACTAAAATTCTATAATATGCTCCTATGACCTTCCCACAATTGAGAGAAAATTAGAAAACAAAAAGATTTGCAAGCTTAATAGGGGACTATCTTGTGCTTTTTCACATTACCACATCTGCTTCCAACAACTCTGCAGGCCAGTGGAAGTACAGAGGCTAGGTGATTTGCCCATTATCACAGAACTAGATCTGAAGATGAAATCATTTCATACAAGTCCCCTTCTCTAAATTAGCAATCTAGCTTGACTTTATAATTGGGATTTGTAAAATACAGCTAGTGAAGCAATGTAAGCTAGAGAAACCACAGACAGCAGAAGACAGTGAGCACTGTTTATCTACAGAGCCACTGGGATCAACCACAGGCAATGTTAAGATTGCCTTATTCTGTATTCTCTTAAGAATAAATGCCACCAAGGGGATAAAAAAAGGCGGCAAGTCATTTCCTTAAAACTGCAACAAACAAAACAGAAAAAGTCAAGAATGTAAACTTAAAACTAGAGAGAGCATCATGAATAAATCAAAGGAAGATTAAGAAACAAAATTAAACAGGTAATATAAAAATATCAGAACAATGCAGTGATTTGTAAATAACAACAACAAAGACAAACGTGTGAAGGTAGGTCAACAAATGCCTTTACCCTCTATTTTCAATGCTAAAATCCAGTCATTTTTTTCTCTGAATAAAAACAATCTCTTTCAAGAAAGCTTTAAGTGGTCTCAAATTAGGAGATCTATATAGTGAGAACTTTGTACTTTGACCATATTTCTCTGCATTGGTCCAAGTTAAAGTCCTAAAACTTAAACTGGTCTCATAGGGAAGGTTTTTCATTGCTTTATCAAGTGAGTTGGTCTTCTCCAGCTCTTTCATGGCTCCTCTGTGACTCCTGATATTCTCTAAAGAAATAGACACCTTCCAGGTCTAAGGACTCTGTGATGACCCAGGATTAAATTAGCATGAACCCAAATTTCAGATTTCACTGGCTTCTTGCCCAAGGCTAAGTGAAAAGAAAAATGTGTTAAATTTCACAACTGTTATCAAAGCCTACCTGTCAGAGGATTAACTATTTCTCATTCTGGCCTATCTAAGCACCTTTAGGTTTTCCAATGGTCAAACTTCAAAAAGAAGACAAGAGTTCACCCATGGGGGAAAGAAAGGAGTGTTCTTTTTCACTAATCCTTTGGAAGGGTTTCCTGAATTAATCATTTCTGAGCCATCATTCTTTGCTGGGCATGTGTTATTTTAAGACTTTATCATTTACTGTTTTTTAAATTCTAGGAGATAAATGACATAAATACCAAGAATACCAACTTGTGGGAAATCTACACTTCCATTTTTTTCCTTCTAATTATAGTCACTGAATTTCAGAGCCAGCCAGGAACGTAAATACTTAGGAGCAAGGACAACTTAATTATCTCTTTGGCTCCTTACCTTTTAATCCCTTCTGCCTCAAGAGGTCAAAGTAGCAAAGTATCACAGGTATCAACAATGAGAAGCACACCCAGCTCCATTTACATTGTAATGAAGAACAGAAAATCCCTCTTCTAATGCTTTCAGAATCTCACAGAAGAATAGTATTTCTTATTTTTTAACTTGTGTTACACAATAATGAAAATACTAAACTAAAAAACCCAACTCTATACATCTGCATCTGCTCCTGAATTTAGATTCAGGGTGCTGTAGAGCACTGTACCAAACTGCTAGGGTGCTGTGGAATATTTTAGATTGTAGAGAGAGAAACACAAGTGATATTCTGCTCAACATCTCAAAAAATCCTAGCTACATTTGGTTCTCAGCTATATTATACTATATTCCTTTCAATGAAATAATTTCTTTGTGAAGCAGACCTTTTAGAACTTGTTAACAGTTTGTATAATAAACAAGTACAGTGCTAAAAATCTACGTAGAACAGCAATTGTCGGTGACAGTGTCCAATTGGACTCCAATGTTTGAAAAGTCAGCACAAAGTTCCCATTAGTAATTATGATTATTTAAGAAGAAAAATATTATTTTTCTTGTGTATTATTTTCTCTAACAGCTACTAAGTTCTTAGGACATAAATATTTAACTAGGTCATATAGGTCAAAATACTTAAGAAACCAACTGGATCTTCTCGATATATACCTAGCAGATACAATATAGATATCTGTACCAGAATGTTCATTGCAGCTCAATTCACAATTGCTAGGTCATGGAAGAAGCCCAAGTGCCCATTGACCCATAAATGGATCAATAAATTGTGGCATATGTACACCATGGAATACTATGCAGCCATAAAGAAAGATGGGGCTCGGCGCCTGTGGCTCAAGTGGCTAAGGCGCCAGCCACGTATACCCAAGGTGGAGGGTTCAAATCCAGCCCGGCCCGCCAAACAACAATGACGGCTGCAACCAAAAAATAGCCGGGTGTTGTGGTGGGTGCCTGTGGTGCCAGCTACTTGGGAGGCAGAGGCAGAAGAC